CTGTGTCAACCAGGACCCTGGCCACATCAGCTCCATTGATATCCATTGTAATAACCAAAGGGTCATTATGATCTCCCCCCGTCCTGGGCAGATCCCTATCAGTGAAAGTGATAGGTTCCCTCCTTGCCTGCTTCCCTTGTGATTCCAGGGAAACCACCGCTACGTGCAAGCTCCTGGCCCAATTCTTCCGCTGGGAGGCGGTGTCCCCGCCTTCTGGGCTGCCGACAATCATCTCGATGAATTCTTTATCCGGCTTGTTGTTATCCTTCCCGGATTTTTTCCTCCCCTGGTCTTTTCCTTGAGGACGGTCCAGGTGTTCGCTTTCGGATCTTTATTCCCGCTGCATAACCTTCCCCCAGCTCTCCGTTCAAGGCCATCTCCTTGAGCACGGCCTTGACATTTCGGCAGTCCGCCGTGTTATGGGAATCGGATTGGTGGTATGTGCACCACTTCTCTGTCCATGGTCTCTTGGGTTGCTCTCCCTTCTTATCATCCCTTATTTGGTGGATGGACCCGTCATATGTGGCCTTTGGCTTGGACCCTTTCGTCTGGTCATCCTTCTTCGGCTTGTCAGATTTCGCCTTTGTATAGCCTTCCTCAACCTCTCGCTTGCTCTTGTTCAGGACCTCCGCCTCGGCGTATTCCCATGCCGTATTATAGGCTTCCTGATAAGAGGAGGGTGGCCTTCTACAAAATTCAGTGTAGAGGTCACCCGACCGGAAGGCATTCATCAGTAAAGACATGGTCGTCTTATCATCCATCTCTTCTACCTTGTCAACCTCGTCCCTCCAGCGGGTTAAAAATTGAGTCAAGGACTCCTTCTCCCTCTGCCCTACCGTGTTAAGGTAGGTGAACTTCTTCCTCTTAATGCAGTTGTCCTGGTACTTCTTGCGGAAAACTTCGGCAAGTTTCTCAAAGGTCCCAATCCTGCCATGGGGAAGGCCGTTAAACCATTCCACAGGCCTCCCTCTCAAGGATGAGAAGAAGAGCAAGCACTCCTCAGCATCAGTGCACCCGGCCATCTGTGCTGCATTGTGGAAGGTGTCAAGGTGGACATTTGGATCCTCCTTTCCAGTGAATTTCTCCACGTCCAGTTTGACCTTCCGCCTCAATTTTTGT